AAACTCACGGATCCACAAGCTGAGAAAACACTACATAGCTCTAATCTCCGGAATGTCTAATCAAGAACATAAAGTACAGAAGGGCTAAATACTAGATGCAGGAATAGAAAGAGACTCCTCGGTTTGCGGACGCGGCAGATATACCTCGAAGTCCCGTAGAATCGCCTCGCCTCAAGAATGGTAAGCCTGAGTAGAGGTACCTGGATCTGCACATGAAAAACATGCGTAGGAAGGGCATGAGTACACCACAGCGGTACTCAGTAAGTGCCAAGCCTAACCTCGGTTGGGTAGTGACGAGGAAGGTCAGGGCCCTACTGAGGTTCCATAAGATATAAGGTTTAACAGTTTGAAATAAACAGTGTAAATAAGTAACACAAGATATAAGGGCAGCAACAACTATCACAGAGGCAAGTAAAACACAGTAAGAGGATACAGCTCAGCTCCAAGATAACAACCGGGGATCTCCCAGGATACCGTCCTGTAGTCCCCAAATATAAATATCATATCCAGTGGATCTCCCGGGTGCAGTCCCGTAGTCCAACTCATAAATGTGCAGGGGGATCTCCCGGAATGCAATTCCGTAGTCCCAAAGTAAACATACAAGGGAGCTCCCGGGATACCGTCCCGTAGTCCCAACTCATAAATGCACTAGGGGATCTCCCGGAATGCAATTCCGTAGTCCCAAAATAAACATACAAGGGAGCTCCCGGGATATCGTCTCGTAGTCCCAAAGTAAATACGCAGCAACAACAAGAATTCAATCCAATCAATTGAATATCAAAGTGAAGCAGGTAATCCTAACCTAGCATGGTTCACGTAATACAAATAAGGCAGTTAAGGCAAATAGAGCAATTTAGTCAAGTAGACATGCTTCTCTAGGCTACGGCAGGTTTAGTTTCCAAACAGTATAAGCAAGGAAAGGAAGAACACAATTCAAGGCTATTTTTAATGAAAAACCAGATTTCCAACAATTAGCACAAGTACGCGCTTGTCACCTCACGTACGAGGCATTTCAATTACCACAATATCAATCCTAAGGGGAAAGGTCCCCCACACAAGGTTAGACAAGCCACTTACCTCGAACAAGTGCAAGTCAACCCGAAACACGCCTTTGCCACGAGTATCCGACTCCAAATGGCCCAAATCTATTCAATTAAGTTTCATAATGTAAATAACACTTCAAGTAACTGATTCTATAATTAAATTCTAAGCTAATACGCGAAATTAGGTAAAATGACCAAAATGCTCCCTCAGGCCCACGTCTCGGAATCGAATAAAATTTATAATTTTAGAAATCTCGTACTCTCACGAGTCTAGACATAACAAGAACACTGAAATCAGAGTCCAAATGACCCCTCAAATCCTCATTTAAAGGCCTCTTAGACTCGAGCCCTAATTAACCATTTTTCCCAAATTTCTCATCACTAATTAGGTCTTTAATCACATAAAAACGAGTTATGAAGTCAAGGACGTTACCTCCAAGCGATTCCCCTTTGTTTTCCTAAAAAATCTCTCTCAAAAGCTTCAAACCCGGATAAAAATGGTGAAAGAATGGCTCAATTTCGCAAAAGCAACTAATTATAGGTTCTGCCCAGCGATTCCCGCATTTGCGGCCCTGGGACCGCATCTGCAGTCCCGCTTCTGCGGAAACAACGTCGCATCTGCGACTTTCATTTAAATGCCAGATTTCGCATCTGCGGAACTCTAACCGCAGGAGCGATTGCGCTTCTGCGATCAACCCACCGCATCTGCGGTTCCTGAGGAATTTCCAAATTCTGCTTCTGCGGCCACTTAGCCGCTTCTGCGGCGCCGCATCTGCGGTCCCTCTACCGCAGATGCGAAAATACCAGAAGCAGCAAAAAAATACAGCAGATGCAACATCTTCTAAATTTCTTGTCAACCATCCCAAATCATCCCGAGGCCCCCGGGACCTCAACCAAGGGCACCAACAAGTCTAATACTACTCCCCAAACTTGTACCAATCCCTAAAACACCTAAAACAACATCGAAAGCTCAAATTAACCATGGATTCAAGCCTAAGAACTCCAAATTTCTCAAAATACGCTTTCGATCAAAAAGTCTATCAAACCTCGTCCGAATGATCTGAAATTTTGCACACATGTCCCAAATGACATAACGGAACTACTGCAACTCTCAGAATTCCATTCCGACCCTCGGATCAAAATCTCACTATCGAACCGGAAACTTCAAAATTTAACCTTTCAGCATTTCAAGCCTAAATTAGCTACGAACCTCCAAAACACAATCCAACCACGTCCCTAAACCCAAAATCAGCTAACGGAGCTAAAGGAACCATCGGATTTCCATTCCGAGGCCGTCTTCACACTGTTCCGACTACGGTCAACTTTCCAACACTTAAGCTCTCATTTAGGGACTAAGTGTCCCAAAACTCTCCAAAACTCAAAACCGAACATCCCGGCAAATTAAAATAGCAGAAATAAACTTGGGGAATGCAGTTAATGGGGGATCGGGGCGTAAATTCCAAAAACGACCGGCCGGGTCGTTACATCCCCAATTTAAAAAAACCCATCCAATACTGACCCGCCCAAGTTAAGACCCGTAACCTAAAGGCAAAAAGAGAGACATAACTTAAAAATCTGGAAAACCAGCATTGTTCTCCATCTTTATTGATATTTGCTCAAAATTTCCAACCCAACTTCTATGAATCTTCACCAAATTTGTTATAATTTGAGATTTAAGCTCCCCAGAGATCCCTAACAAAACACGATAACGCCAACTAGAAATAGTTCACATTTTCGAAAACTCAATTTTCGAGCTAAGCTTCAGAGCTTTCATCAATGGAGTTTTTAGCTCTTGCTTCACGTACCAGCTTTCTAACAATGTTCTAAAAAAATACTTTCAACAAGAAACACAAACAGCTCAACTCTTCCAAAATTTTAAATCCGGTGTCCAATTGATACATCATCGATCCCACCCTCTTCTTCTCCTTACTTTTTATCACCATATTCCCAAGAAGTTACTAAATTGTGTGAAAGAAAATGATTCGTCTGTGTGTACTTTTCCATCCATTATAAAATAAAGGAAGACTAGAAATCAGATGCCAATTAAAAATATTTAATTAAAATATAAGAAAAATAATAAGAAGTGTAGAAGTAGCCATCAGAAACCAAAGTTCATCCGCAAAAGCTTTTCACGTGGCTCCTCTTATGAAGGCAAAAACAACTACTATTTATTGATAAATATCACAAACATTTTCTATGAAGAAAGAAATCCTTTTAGGTGTTCAAAATATAATTTTATCATAAAATATTAAGAGCTTAGAAGCTCTTCATCAAAAAAATTTCATCAGAAAATAAATTTATCGGAGTAGGAATTTATCGGAGTAGGTGCATGACTTTCTCTAGATCTGACACACTCTTCATAAAAATCTTTTATTGAGAAAAGTATATTGTCAAAGTATTTGGGTTATAGGTCTTAACTTGGGGGGTTAGTATTGGATAGGTTATTTAAAATTGGGGGTGGGTCTTATAATGACGAGCTGCCACGTGGCACTCCGTCCGACTGAGGGGTATTTTTGAAGCAAAGTATAACGGTAGGGGTTCAAACAACCGGATAGTATAACGGAGGGTAAATCTAAATAATATTTAAAAGTAGAGGGATATATTTGGCCCTTTTTCGTTATATAATTCTTTTGCAACTAACTTTCAGCATAGTTCCTTCGAATTTTGTGCATTGCATCGAACTAACAAATGCTCCACTATTAAGCCCCCCTAATGTCATTGTAACAATCGTACCTTGTAACTATAAGATATAGACTATAATAGGTTATGGTTGGTGTTTCTAATGTTGCTCATTTCAAAAAATATTGTAAACATTTTTTTTAACAAGATAACAGCTATGTTATTAACAATGAAAGCAGTCCTTAATACAAAGACTGTGAAAAGAGGAACCCGAGCCACACGACCTCAATATTATTGTAAACATTTAAGGCAGCAAAATTCCCATAAGAGAGTTCTTAAATAATACTTCCTCCAGTCCATAATAAGTGACTTTTTACCTTTCGCACGCCCCTTAAGAAAATACGAACTTCTAGAGAAAAAAAGATATATTCGCTAAATTACCTTTAATTAATTGTTACCTTGAACATAGGGATATGTAAATAAGGGCAAATTTTGAATTAATTCCTTCTTGATTAGGTAAAAAGACACTTATTTTGGACCAAATTTAAAAGGCCAAAAGGTCACTTATTATGGACCGGAGGGAGTGTGAGCCAGTGGCAACCTAGGATTTTGTGGAAGCCGGTTTAGGCATAGACTAAAGTCCTTAGCAGCAACCAATAATATACATCAGGGTGCATGAACAATATTACATTGGAAGCCCAACATTTGGTAAACCAGGAATAGGGATAGGTAACACTCCGATGACATATAAAGAAAATGGACCTTTAGCCTTACTCAACCCAAAAGCTAGCTCATAAAGCGAGGATTGAGCAAGACATACACGGAGATAACAACTTCCCTTAACCAATGTGGAACACTTTAACAATGTCGTATGGAAAGATAAAATGTGCAACCTAGTTGAAATTGCTACTAGTTGGACCCAAATGAACATTTTTCCAAAGATTGTGTGGAAGTCTGTCTAACCAAAATCTAACTCTAACATTTGGATAAGCAACATAGAGAAAAATTCTTAAATGGACAGGGTATGATATTATGAATGAAGCATCGACCATCTAGCACAGCAGCTGCACCTATTTCTTTAGAAAAAGCAAAGACCATACCTTGCATTGAAGACTCGTTATTGTGGACCTTAACAAAGTATCCCCTACGATCAACCTCAACTTTCTGACAAATTCATCCCGACTTATCTTCTTGTCCTATCGATGTCAGATAAATGAAACAAGAGGAAAATTTTTAAGCTCAGTAACAATCCAGGCACAAATTAGAGAAATAAAACATTCAGCAATTGTTACTTTTTTCTGATATACAATTTTCAGCAGATGCAAGATATATACCTTGAATAACTCATAATTGCTACTAACGAGGTTCATATCCTCTTGAGGCACTTTCCTCGAAATTGCTGCAAACAACATGGGGAATGGCATCCAGGGGGACTTCGGCGTCCTTGCATCCTTTTTTGAGGCCAACCCCAGTGAATTCTGATAGCCGTCAGTTCCCTATAAGAACACACAGTAATTGTTAGCTGAAAGGAACTCCACAAAGTTTGATGAAAAGATGACCACCAAAATGACAATGTTGCTGAAGAAGCAGAATCGTCATACTAGCACATCATTCACTCTCTCTCCTCTATTTGGATCAAGCAAGGCTTGCTGGATGAGGCTGAGTAGTCCCAAAACCTTAAAACAACACAAAAGAAGGAATACACCCAAAAAACCTTATATAATAGTACCTATTCCTAACTAAACAACTGTCAGGACAGGAATCAGGAAGCTGGGTTTAGAAACCAACATCTTCAGTATCAGCAATTATTGGAACTGAGTTCAAGATCTAAGTATATGTACAAAAACAAACCTGCAGAAGGCGAGTTTGGAATACATTGTTAACATAAATAAGAGTTAATAAGCATGTACATTGAAATAACAACCGTCTCCAGTAGCTTGTGCAGATTCCAGGTCACAGCATGTATTCTGTAGTGGCATGCGCCAAACACTATCTCAAGTATCCAAGGTAGCAGCATGATTCTGTAGTGCCACACACTATCTTAAGTATCCAAGGTAGCACTAGGGCAATGCTTATGAAGTCAATTGTGGCCCTTACAGAACTAGCATGCAATTGAGGAATATAAACAGGAGATGATTGGAGGTGCTAATATTTGCACAAACATCTTAAAGTAGGAGGCTGCCCTTAGCATTCGCTTATTTTGCCAAGAAATTCACGAGGTGGTCCTTGAGTTGGAAGAACTCCCTCTGTGTTGCTGACTCCTCTCAAAGTTTTTCAAAATCCTAGTTTTACTTCTGCCAAACTATTTCGCATTTGCTTCATATCCAATAAAATCCTCCAACTTCCCCGTCTTTTGATTCAATCAAGACCAAAAACATAAATCAGCAGTCAAATTGTTTATAGCTGTCAATAGACTTACCAAGTCAGTAGGAAGTGTATCTGCCGGTACCTGATTACAACAAGTACTGACAGCAGAGACATCAATTGCGCTCTCGTTTCCAACAAGATATCCTGTAAGGACAAACATGTTAAAGATAATTCAACGGCTACATTATTTTGTAAAACAATATCTATGAAGTATTACTCAAATTTAAAATGTCAAAAGAGAAAGGTGCATAATTTATCTGTACAACGCCAAACACAATAAAAACTGCAGTTAGAGGAAGGCAGACAAGAAAACACACCAAAAAGAAAAACTTAGGCATTCAAGAACCTACGCAGGTCTAAGTTGCAGAACACTGAAAACCAAAAATCCCGTAACTCAATTGCCCTCAAACTTTTACAAATCAGATTCCATCCAACACTAATAAAATTTGCAGTCCCTCCCAAAATTTTAGAACATTAGAATTGGTCATATTAACCCAGTTCCCAATTCCCATAATCCCATCATTAACCAACATGTAGAGATTAACACATTAAGAATCAATCTTGACATGAAATATTCAGTACAATATGAACAAAAGTAGTACATTAAATGAAAAGGACAATAACGTTGGTAAAGGCAATCCTAGGAATCGTCTAAACGGGATTAACATGGACATAAAATAACAAATACAAATGCTATAACACTGATAAGCACTAACAAATATAAAATATTTATTGTTTATTGTCCTATCACCCACAAAAATTAAGAAATGGGGATGAATTTGATGATTTCAAAAGTCGGAAGGGGCGGATTCGAACAAAGCTGGAGCCTGGAAGGATCTTTTACTTATTTGCAAAAATGAACGACATTCATCCCTCCCTGAGCAGCCAATTAAACTGTTGGAGTATTTAAGAGACGGATTCATGAACATTTAACACGAGATAGCCAAGGGGAACAACTTTCCTTTGACTTGTGCAAACAGTAACCATAAAGGAAAGGACTTAAATTATCACCTTCCGCATCAGGAGACAACTTGAAACTGACAACATATTCTGGAAAGATATGAGTATTCATATTCATAGTCCAGACCACGTAACACTTCGGATTTTCAAGATTATCAACGCCATTATCGAAATCCTCACTACTGGGATGGAACTGCTTAGATCCAGGATAAACCAGTTCCATGTTTCCCATTATTACACGGCACAATATCATGTGCTGTACACCATTTTCGTCATAATCACAATACTTTGCACTGTAAAGAAAATGAAAGCAACAATATCAATAAGCTTCATAATGAGAACAAACAAATTGACAAAAAGGAAAATACGATCATGGCAGGTCAACCACAAAAAGGCGTAAACTTCAAAGCATCAAAAGAGAAGCGACCAACTATAACAAGCTCCTTTACGCATCAAAAGACATCTTATCAAACCTCACAAGACGACTAGAACAAGTGGAATTTCAAGACCCGAAATAATAACACACAAGACTAGCATAGCATATCATCAACATTCCACATGAAATTCCTGTACAACAACAAGGTCAATATTTGCATCTTTTAAACGCTACTTATGTCAGTTGACGAGCATTAAGGAATCAATTCACGGATAGCTTCTTAGGAAACTAACATGAAAGATCGTTAAAGCTATGACAGGACCCAAAAAAAAATAGTATTTGAACCTGGATACCAGCAATAGAGATCTCCTTGATAATGCAACCAAATAATCCTACAGGTAAAACTCAGGTACCATACCAAAAGAAAACAGAAAGCAGTAACTGCCACTTTCAAACTTGATTCATATCCCTCTATAACTGATGATAAACACTGGGGATTTATAAATTGAGTGAACAAAAAATGAAATCAATATGTATTAGACTGGTCCTACTTTTCCAGATCTGAATCTGTATATTTTAGAGACATACAGCACGACAAGCATTCAGTCTGCTTTACCAGCAAAATTATAGGGAAGCTCCAGATTACCCTAACCTTGAGGTTCGAATGTTGCCACTACCCCACTGTTTTCATTAAAAAGTTCACAGCTGCCGCGTCATTTAAAACCTTATATGCTCTACCGACCGAAAATCATTATTTCTAAAATGCACCTGTATAAGTCTTCTTGCAACTTCGGCTGTGTTGCTCGAAAATTCAGTTGATAGAAAAAAGCAAAAGAGGAAACAACACTACCTGATCTCAGTACAGTTAGCAGGGAAAAGATGAACACCAACGCCATATCTGGACTTGGATTTGGATAGATCATAATTAGCGAGCCCATACTTCATAATACTCGTAATCATTCCTTTAGAAGAAGGAAGCCAAGCATAACTTAGACTGGCACCCCCACGCTGCTTCTTCGTAATCTCCGCCTGCTTTTGAAAGAGTTCCTTTCGAACTTCCATGAAAGTACTTGAAACACGATGTAATTCAAATATCTTTGCACCAGAAGGTGAATTGATACCCTTGAGAAACATCTCACCCACAACATCTGGGTCCAGATATTCCCACTTGCAGCCGGCAGCATTTTCCAGCATTTGATGATTTTCCGCGGAGTCATCCATGGATTTCGTATCTGAGTGTCTGACACAATTATCACCAACTTCAGCAGTGCAATTTTTTGCTGCAGGGTTGTGACATAAGTTAACTTGCTTAACAATAGCATTGGACTCTCCACTAGATTCCTTCAAACTTGACATGTCCGCTCCATTAATTTCAATCTCCAGCTGCATCTCCAGATCATTGGAACCCTCTGTCTCAGAATCCACCTCTATGGAGTCCTTGTGTTCACTGTGACAACACTCATGCAGTTCATCACAATTAGCAAATAATTCCGGGAAAAAGCAGTTGCCTGTTTCATCAATCCATGCAATAGGTTGCTGCAGACCTGACTTCAGGTCCAACCGCATCATATGGAAGAAATCAAGCACAAATTTTTTACCATTGAACTCCACCTCTGTCACTGATTTCTTTATTCGGAGATCTTTCTTAGCCATTGTAACGATGTTCTCAGGGAAATCAGTCCACTGATCCTTCTGATAGTACATCAAACGTTGCGGAAGCCCACTTTTCCTGAAATTGAGATAATATCTAAGCAGAGATTTTCTTAGGTGAAACGCACAACCACCACACGTGCTGTTTGATCCATTCAGCTTCCTCCGTTTTCCAAGAGGACGGATGGATGAGTTCAGCGAGGTTCGGACAGGAAATATCATGTGCGTAGGCCCAGAGAGATGGGTCTCGCATCGCGCTGCCCGTTTTCTCTTCAAGTCAACAACAATGTTTTGGCTCCTATCCAATACCTTTCCGTATTTTGTTTCCATTTCTACCTACAGGATCAATCCCTATCCACTGGTTTAAAGCCAAAGGTTCAAAGATAACAGTTATGTGCAACTCGGTCTTGAATCCGCCTCAGAGAGACCACGCGCATGCCATTGGTTGAATTTGATAGACCCTGACAAAATAGTGAGACATCATCAATAACAGGACCATAGGCTAAATAATAGGTCGCCCATCACAATTTATAGAATACCACAAACTAATCATCGCATACAAATCCACTAGGAACCCGAATATAAACTGCCAGTCCAACCATATAAAAGCTGACACGCTCACACTAGGATGAGTACATGTATGAGCTGAAACTACTCCGCAATATTGGTACTTCAGTCATTCGACTAGCATATGGAGCCCGCTAAGATATTTATCCATGATCACAAAAGGGTTGCAAGTTGTAATCCTTTAAGGAAAAGTTTCTAGCATTAGTCTACATCAGTACACTCAGCACTTCACAGAAAGAAGCATATAAATAAATAAAAGAGTATCCATCTGCAAAATTTGTAAAGAACCACCGAGAAGTACGATACCAGAAACTCCAGAGAGGACCAAGAGAACTACAGAGTAAGCCATCACAGAGGAAACATTCAGACTTTGAAAGATTAAGCTGAAAATGCATAATGCCTAGAAATCAAGTTAAAACCAGAACAAGTTAAAACCACATACCAGAACAAGTTAAAACCACAAAACCAAGAAAATGCTGGCGGTTTTTTCCTTGAGAAGAGCTTCAATATTGCACCAACCAAAGCAATTATAAGCACACATGAAAGCAATAACCATCTTATCATCAAATAGTAGTCAGTGGTGGAAGCAGGATTACCGCCAAAGAGGTTCAAAGAAAAGAAAAAATTAAGAAAGGTTGTAGCTAGTGGGAATAGAACCAATGACCTTACAAAAAATTTGAACTCCCTTGACCACTAAGCTATGCTTTTGGGTTATGTCAAGGAGATTCAAAACATAATATATAGAGGTAAAAAACAAATTTTGCCTTATATATACAGTGTAATTTTTCAGCGAAGGGGGTTCGGGTGAACACCCTTCCTCTAAATACGCCCCTGATAGTAGTATAGTACACATTGGATCACATTCATCACAATTCATAACAAAAGGAACATACTCCCAACAAAATGTCTTGTTTTATTGATGTAACTATCTCCCATTATTGGCAAGATAGTACTTGGGCCCCTCTTTTCAGAAGGGACATCCAAGACGGGGAATCGAACGATCTACTGGGTTTGCTCAAAAAATCCCAGGTGCAAGATAGTTTGGAATGTGGTGAATCAAAAGAAAGAACCTATACTGTCAAAAGACGATATGACAATCTATGCTCCAACAAAGAATTGATCGACAAATGGCCATGGAAGCTTAAATGAAAAACCAAACTACCTAGAAAAGTAGCTGGTTTTATATGGACAAACTTGTATGAAGCTTGTCTTACTCAAGACAATCTTAGCAGGAGTATACACTGTGAAATATATGTTATATATGCCAAATGGAGTCTGAGAGTGTGAGGCATTTTCTGCAGTGTTCACTAGCAGCTGACATTTGGAGCATTTTTTTTCAATTTTTGGAATAGCTTGGGTCATGTCAACAGTACCAAGGAAGCTTATGAGAGCTGGTGCTCAAGAAGAGTTGGGAAATCAATCAAAAAATCTTGGCAAATAGTGCTTGGTGTTATTTGTGGAGTATTTGGAATGAAAGGAATCATAAATATTTTGATGGGATTTCAACTCCTAACCATGCTCTTAAAGCCACTTCTATAATTAATAGTTTATTTAGTTGGTTCAACAAGGCCCCTGTAACAAGTGTTGAACTTTTCCTGAATTTTATCTGCTTCTTTGTTGTCCATTAAGTATTGGTATATGAGTAGACACTACATTTCTGTTGTAATTTTTGCTATGCATTTTCTTCATGTCATTTAATGAAATTCCCTTAATCAAACAAAAAAAAGGAAAAACTAAAACTAAATAAGTGTGTGCAATAGTGTTGTAAATAGCGCTCGCCTCAGCGCTAACAGCGTGAGGAGATGCGAAGCGGAGGCTTGACGCTATTTTCATCTGAGGCGTAGCGTTTTCTGAAAAGCGACAGCGAGGCGGCAACGAGGCGTCGCTTTTTTAAACAAACAAAAATAAACTTAAATAAAACATTAGGGTTTTCTTCTCTTCAAACCACTTCTTCCTCTTTCAAGAGTCGGCATAGGCGCAACTCTTCTTCGAGTTTCAGGTACTGATTTCTCTTCTTTCTTTCTTTTTCTTTTTCCGGCAATAAGCCCTCTGTTTCCGGCGTCTTTTTCCGGCAGCAAGTTCTCTCTTCTTTTTTCTTTCGTATCTTTTTCTTCTTCCGGCAGTAAATCTTCTTTGTTCTTCTTTGCGGTAGTAACTGATATTCCGGCATAACAATTCTTTCTTTCTTTTCTTTCACCTATGTATTCTCTCTTTTCTACTCGTCTTTCTTCTTTTGTTTCTCTTTTATTCAATGTTTCAGTTTTTGTATACAAGTAATTGCATATTAACTTCTCTCTATAATTACAATTACAATTAATTGTTCTTTTCTCTCTTTGATTACAATTAATTTCTCTCTTAAACAGTATATTCAATGAAATATTTGCTAATATGTTATTATTATTGAGTTTTTGGTTATTAATATATGCAAATTAATATTTTAATTTTTTTGTATTAATTGGCGCTTCACTGCAAAAAGGCGAGCGCTTCGCTTCTCGCCTCAGTGAAGCGGGCACTCGTCGCTTTTTGTCGCCTCTCGCTATTGGTGTGCAATAAGGGGGCTCTTTCAATAATATCGTTTGTATTTTACTGCAAAGACAATTTTGGTCCTCATAAACACGAGCAAAGATAGCCTAAGGAAAATATAAAACAAAAATATGCAACAACTATGTTGATCTTCTAATGGTTAATATTTCTATATTAGTATAATAATTCAAACTTCAAAAATGCTTAAAATTTTCTTTTCCACTTCTATAGTAAGAAAGGATTAAATGAGAAGACAATTAACCCTATCAGTCGCCAAGGCTAGTCCAAGTGGCAAAGATTGAGGGACTGTCAAAGCTCAGAGCCTTGCGTCATGCTAACCAAGTCCAGTACTAAAGTTGAGAAGGGTAGAGGGGGGGCACTATCCCCGAGTTTCAAAAGTAGTCTTTGGTTAAGGGTTGACCTCCAAACAGATTTCTCGGTCATAAAAAACAACGAAGTGCATATCCACGTCGAATTCAAATTGGAGAGATGACTGCATTTCACAACCCATTTTTTCTAATAACCGTGGTGTCCGGACCAAGCTTGCTCGCACCTCGACTAATTTCAAAGAGTATCTGCTACCTTCCACCACCACATGTATCAGGTAACTCTGTCCACCAAGATTGGACAGATGAAAAGAAGTCACCTAGTGCATTTGCCTCCGCTCGAATTAGAATCTAAGACCTAATAAAGTTCTCAATCCACTTAATTGACCACCAGGACAAATTCTTGGGTGTTTTCACAACCCATTTTTACTCATGTAACTATCGAATTTTCCACATAGCAAGGATCAATCATGTTGTTTGAGAGACAACCCTGACATATTAATCATACAAGAGGATGCCCACTTAAAATGTTGTAATTTCATATTTCTTTGGTGTAATAACAAATAAATGGATCTATTAATATATAATAAGACTTGATGAAAGCATCACGTATAAATGGATCATTTGGAATTAAAATCATATGAAAACCACTTCCTTGCTGGACTTCAAATACGTCACTCACATGGGACTTCAGCGAGTCAAACCAAACACATTGATACATCGCACATGGTATGTTTATGGGAAGTGGGTGGTAAAAACTTTAAAGGCCATCACTTCCAACATACATCTACCATCAGTATTTTGAAGCAAAAATGGTGTCGCAATGTGATATTATGTGGAGCCTTTTTTTTGGATAAGTCGAAGAGTTACATTGATAAGACACCAAGAAGGTGTAGGATTTAAAGATTGCAAGATTAATATTAAGCATTCTATAAAACACATATGTAATATACACGCTAATCCTTCCCAAAATCCTAACCATTTATCTATACAAGCAAGCATCTCAACTTTACACCAGAAGAACAAAAGAAAAAGAAAATAACTCCTGTTTTCCTTTTTCCCTGTTTTCTCTCTATTTTTTATTTCTATTTTTGAGCTGGTAGCTTCTATTTTGTTAATTATTACTAATTGCTAATGACTTCTATCTCATCCATTTTTTAATATGAAGAGTTATTGATCCAAGTATATTTTGGTTTAAAATAAAAATATATATTATTTTGACAAATCCTGGTGTATTTAATCATTATATTTATGTGCAATGTTCATTTTAATATTCTTTGAAATTGCACCTTGCTTCACGCTTTAAGCGAAGCGGACCGTTGTTCTAGAAACCTTTATATACACTCATCTAACAACCTAGCAGCTTAGGTTGTAGCAATTTTGCTCTTGCCATTTAGTTTTTTTTGGATACTCACAACACGAAAATTATACTAGTACAAAGTTCAGTTTCTTTATCCTTCATTTAGTTGCTTGCACCTTTTACCTTTATTTTTGTTGCAAGTAATACTGGGTGAATTTTATACCGCTGTCCTAGTATAATTGTCTACACTATCTAAGAATTTGGAAGGAGCTAGTAAAATAACAAAACTGACCTTCTGCCGAAGCCTTTCCCAAGGATAATAAAAAGCATCAACAGTTTGATACATCCTAAATTATTAATATTATATGTCCTAATAACTTCAATTTAATATTTTCCAAAAAATTTTGTTTGTATATTCAAAATTTCAGATAACACGTGCACATTTATGCATCGCTTTAACTTTAATATGTTACTCTAAATTCAAGATTTAAATACGAAATGTGAAACAAATGAGCTTAACAACTAATATAGGTAAAGAAAAAGAGAGAAGTCGTGCTAATTTTAAAGGAGTGATATCTAGTAACCTTATTCTTACATTCCAATAGATTAGTGATTGCGTATCAAAAAACTACATGTCAATAACTAAACAATAATTATTAAAACTAGAAAGCATTTTGTGTATGATATACTTAGCTAGAAAATGCCCATCTTTTCATGATGGATCAAAGGAGAAATACGCAGAAGAAATAAAAGCAAGGTCAATTAAAAGTACATACATAAAGAAAATAGGAAAAAGCGAAGAGTTCCTCCTCAAAGAATTAGTTGAATTCACTGACAAGTTGATGAACTGGAGAGCAGACTAGTCATAGTGAGATCGAGATTGATTGGGATGTGAATTATTTGCACGGCATTGTGCGAGAAAATCATTTCCTTAACTCTCCAAATAAGGTAGATGATTGTCGAACACATAAGATATTATACTTGTGAGTACACTTTTTAAGCATTTCAACTTTACATGTAAGAGTTCTATAATCGTTCCTTGGTATCTACTTGAATTAGAGGATTGCATGGGTTGGGTTAAATACAATTACACATAAATCCACGGCCTTGGGCAAGATTTGAGAAGTAAAACAAGCTCAAGTGCCGAAAAACAATCACTTATCACTCAATGCATTCCTTCAACTATTACTAATAACGTGGGAAGCTTCAAATTATCTTCTTGAATTTCTAAATATATAGATATCTCACCTACAATCTTCTTCAGTGTATCCTAAAATTAAAAATAATAAACTAAAATTGGATCGTAACACGTCTATGGTCTTAAACCTTCGTCTCTACTCATTTTTGTTAGACAAGTACCAGGCTCAAACTCTTGACCTAGTGGCATGAAGAGGACTCTTCCAACTAATATAAACAACAACAACATAAACAACAACAGCCGGTAACCTTCATCTCTACTCATAAACTTCCAAATCCCCACCACGGTGGATCAATTAAAAATATATATATAAATGCTATCAATGAAGTTAGACAAGGGAGAAATCTAGAGAGGACCTTGCACCACGCTACAACATACCTCTGTTGATATGCACGCACCACTTGTTTTAAAGAAACCTCTGACATGCATAAAATCTAATATCTTTGTTTAAGCACAAATAGATACAAACTTTATGTTTTAGCACATTGGATTCATCTCCCTGACATATGTCTTTGTCTTGGGAGTTTTGGCATGTGATCATTTCTTCTAAAGAAACCAAAATTGAGTAATGAGAAACAATAGGTACGTGCAACAAATACACTCTAATGAAATATACCAAAATGTAAAATCAACACACCAAATGATTCCAAAAAACAGACACTACCCACCAAACCTTCACCATTTCGGGAATATGATCAATACACCTTGACTCACAATAAAATACATTAAGAAAATCACGATCTTAAGTACTAAATTTTAGAGTTCGAAGGCTAATGTTGAAAGCTTGGTGTGAAGAAAGTGAACCTTGTGGACATAGGCAAAAACATAATGACCATAATCTGAACATATGCATGCAAAAGTGAGAAAAAAAATGAGAGGAAGTTACATAACATTACCCGTGATGACCTAGCCCTTGGGGACTTCTTGGTTATCAAAAAGATCATCACGAATGATGATCTACCATAACACGCACAAAATGAATCCAAGTACAGTTCTTAATCGATCTCCGAATCAACAATAAAAGCTAAAGGAACTAACGCCCCTAATGACTTAAACTCCAGCACACAATAAGTAAAACAGATTTTTTTAATTCCATAAACAATAAAAACGCCGTAAGTTACTAAACATCTAAACCAATTCATCTAGCTAAAATAAAAAACTAAAACTTTACACTCATAACCATTTAGGAGAGAATATTCCAATTCCGGGAACGTGAATAATCACTCACCAGTTTGTTCGACAAATTACAAGTGCTCAATAACACAATTACTACTACATAAACGAAATAACAAAGCTTTCGCCTTTACCACCATAAAACATCATATATTCACTACTAACAATAAAACACAATATATACTAACATCCACAAACATATATTATAGATATCAACAATAAAAAAGATACAAACACATAAAAACAAACATGCATGTATCGTATATGAAATAACGATGAGAATACTTCAAAAAGAACTGAATTTTCACACAGATCAAAGATCGAGGGATTTACATAAAGATAAAGAGAAGTCGACGGATGAATTTTGCTTCCTCCAATTTCCTCCTTCTCCAGCGAGTGGTGGTGTCAAACCCTAAGTCGGCCCAGAGTTTTACCAAGTCCTTTTTCTTCTTTGTATCTACAGAGAATAAAATATTGAGTGGACTAATATGCCCCCAAAGGTACAGGTCTCCTTTAGACCGACTATGATATTTTTGTTATTTTGGGAATTAGATAAGGGTAATGTCGGTAAAACATACGGGTAGATGGTGAAGTGCAATGAATCGGGTCCTTCTTTGGCCCGACGTACAGGCCCGAGCCCGAGATTTGACCGTTACTTTCACCGACTCAACGGGTGATGATATTGGATGAGCGTGTTCCTGAATGATTTAAATGCGGGACCCATTCATTATGTGTGTTTTCAAAGGATAAGACCGAAGCTAATTTATTCATTTTTTTTTTAAAAAGAATTATTACGTGGGAATTGGGGGAAGGAAAGATGATATTGTCTATATTGTTCGTACTATATTATTTTAAACTTTATAAAATTATTCGGTATAAGTATTTCGTTTTAGCTTTTCAGTTCTCTTAACTATGGATACTCTTTTACAAACGCAAAAAATAAATATCATAATGACAAATTTTTTATCTATCTTAAACGCCTTTTGATTAAGATCAACTGTAGTATCTGTTTTATCAGTTTAATATCTGATATATGGGCTATCGATTCACACGATATTAACTCAATTTTTTAAGGGAAAAGATTCATCTAGGTAGCTAAAAGAAATGTTTTCGTTGTCATAAATTCGTGATGTTTGATTAAACTATTTATAGCTAAATGAACTATGATTTGCTCCTACTTAGAGAAAAATGATTGACATAATTTCACATTAGAGAACCGTACGTGTTTACTCATAAATTCAAAATTGTGTGTTAGTAGGTGCAAAGTATAACAACAACTCAGTAAAATTTCACTTGTGAGGTCTGAGGAGGGTTGTGTATACGCAAACCTTATCCCTACCCGAAAGAATAGGTGCAAAGTATAATTGTGTTTTATTATTCTTTTTGTGACAATATGTGCAAATCTAGTATTTGTACATATGTTCTTACAAATTCTACAAGAATTGTATATGATTTGGATTGAATGTAGAGCTTTGCTTTACTCCAATTAACTGAAGGACCTGAAAGTAAATTAAAGACAAAAAAAAAAAGCTCAATAATTTAGTGTTATTTTATGCTTTTCGAAGCAATTTATAAAGCACAGGCTGAAACAGGTGAAATCAAAGGGCATTACTTGAATGCTACTGCAAGTTGGCGCACTTGTTTGATGAGCTAAGCCTAAGCGCCATATAAGTCAAAAGCTAGCCTGAGACCTAAAAAAGCAAGGTCGAAATCCATCCCTCTTTTTCCTGTATTTGACTAGTAGGGCTAATGAACGACCTTTGATCTATGTCGTGGAAAGTTCAGCCAGGTCTGATTAGAAGTTCAAAAATGAGTGGAGCGAGGGGCTTTAGAGGGAAAAAAGGGGGGGCGAGCTTTAATTGAAGTAGGGGCGGAGCTCCTCTCCTTAGAGTCAAGTGGCTTTCACTCCTCATAGAGAGTTAGAAAGCGTCAGTTCTCATAGCGAGGCTTAGGCTGACGGGGCAATAGCTCGCAGATGAGGAATTCTTCCGCTACGACAATAATGTTGCAAGTGTACCCTTCAAATTTAGAGAGATCTCAAAACAATCAAACCTCATTCATCTTCCCATATGCAAAGTCAAGTATAAGTTCAACACGTTAAATTTCAAGTTGAGTTAATATAAACATCATTATACTAGTCCAAATTAAAGAAGATTATATGCGTCATTTCAATATTAGCAACTCAAAAACAAACACGAAATATATATATATATATATANTTTCTGACACAAAACACACATATATATATATATATATATATATATATATATATATATATATATATATATATATATATAAACCAACTATGTTTAATGGCACGGTAAGTGGTTATAATTATTAGGTAATGGACATGCCAAAATCCTAACAGAGAAACTTGATCAGGATGAACCTTTTCTATACTAGTAATTAATTTTAATTACTTCCTATTAACAAAAACGTCCTTACACGCAGAAACTAAGTGATAATTATATATAATAACGATAGTAGGTTTTAATATTCATACAACTTTCCGAACCAGTATATCTTCAGTCTGGCACCAATGGAATGTAATTCTTATGGAGTACATTATTTTTTGATATTTGGAGATAACTTATGATATTTTGTTTCTTTTCCTCAATTTTTTGTTCTCAAACATGTGTTTGGTTTAAAGTTGGATAAACTTGGATAAAAGTATATTTCCTATTTTAACCTTTGATATTTCATGACTTATACAAACAATATTTTTCTTAACGGAAAACTCCACCCAACAATATTTTCTTATTATTGTTTTTTTTTTTTCTTTTTTTTCTCTTATTATTGTTGCACTGTTGCAAAAGAAGTGCACAAACTGAAGCTAAAATAGTGTAGAAATATGCAGAAAAATGTAGAAACTATGCAAAAGAGTGCAAAATCAATGCAGAAAAATGCAAAAACTATGCAGAAATTGTGCAGAAAACTGCAGAAACTATGCAAAAAGAGTGCAGAAATAATGTAGAAAAACGCAGGTATTATGCAGAAATAATGCAGAAAAAAGCAGGAACTATGCAAAAATTATTCAAATATAGTGCAAAAAAAAATACAAGAACTGTGCAAAAACTCCAGTAAAAAAAGTGCAGAAGCTGTAGCTAATATCTATGCAGAAACTGAAACTAAAATCTGCTAAACTGAAACTTAAAAACTACAAAATTAAAATATGCAAAAACCGAAACTAAAATAAGTGCAGAAACTACAGTAATAAAAAGTGTAGAAACTGCAGTCAAAATCTGCAGAAACTGAAAGTAAAAAAGTGCAGCGGCAAACATACATATTGCTCTGGAATACCAATAGTGCCATAAAATCACCACGAAATTGTTCGAGCATGTCACAAATATAAAAACAATATCACGCGATGATAAAAAGCTATAAATAGACAAAAGGTATGATGCCCATACCAATTAGCATTCATGCATTACATTTACATATGCATCCTCATGGTCATACTAGTCACATATCAAGTTCATGGAGCTGAGGCATCAAAAATTATAATACATCTATTAAACATTTTGAAGAGAACTAACATATCCAATTACTTAAAAAAAAAAATTCATTACCTTAACAAAGTCATCCCATTTTGTTAGATCATCAACTATAATTCTTCCACCACCATATTGAAAGTCCATTCCACTTCGACTTTTTAATGAAACTATAGTACTATAGTCCCTCTTCCACGCTTTCAATTTAGAATTAATATGTGGTGCAGATTTTCTGTAAATGATGCTCCAATTCCATCAAGTATCCATTCATAAAGGTTCCATTATCGGCTTTCCAACCTCTAGTACATAAATCTTTTAAACCATTAACAAGAGCGCGTTCTTCTTCTAGTGTCCATGTCCTTCGAGGCTTGATTAGGAGGTGCTGCGTGATTACTCATGTATGATCTTGCGGGAAAGCTGATCAAGTAAAGAAATAGAAAGGGATGATTTTTTTTTTCAAAATCCATTAGGAAGCAAAACATAGAATACAAAAGTTCACAATAATAAACTCCAGCATATAAACCTCATGAAGCACACAATGAAGATGCAATCAACTCCTTTTTGTACAGGTAACTACCACATTCCTTTTTGTATTCTTACATTCACAAATTCAATCCACTCCAACTTCAACTTTAATCTAGAAAGACTTACAGGAGACAAGATATCTTACCTTAGAAATGAGCGAAGTATACTAATAAATAAAGCTTAGGTTTTCGGACAACAAAACTAAACTTACCTTATGATTAATAAGTAAATGCAAAGGCTGAACACTTCTGATTCAACATAGCAAGGATTTTCACTGTCAGTGTTAAATTAAGAGTAGATATTCTTCGGAGAAGCAGAGCAACTGAGCCTTGTTTTTACATACTGATTTGTTTTTATATCTCGAAGGAATTAGAATGGTAATCTACTGCGACTTTTTCACCTGAAATCACTTGGTTTTTTCACCTATATTACTGCGGCATAGGGCGAATTGGGCGCAATGAGGTTGAGAATGGTAAAAATCATTAATACTTCACTAGAACTATATTTACTATGTAAGAGAATACTGAAAATTTCTGCGTTTCAGCAAACAAAACAAGTACAAACCAAAATCAAAACCCCAACAGCTGTTAATCAACAAACAGAAAATAGATACCTTGGACAAAGAGAAGTAACAAAAAAGGAAGAAAAAGGAAATAAAAAGGTTTTTTAGATAAAGACGTCCGTGTAATAATAGAGAATGGGGTTGAGAAGGGACGTAACAAGAGAAGGGAAGAAAAGAAACAAAAACTTACTGAGAAGGAGAAGCAGATTTTCTCTCGTGATATCAGGGAGCCATGGCTGAGATGTCAAGCTTGGTTGTATCGTCGGAGAAAAAAGGGTTCGCAGAGAAGTGACGAAAACAAACGTACTGATGCAGTGAAAAGGGCATTTGGAGGGGTAATTTTGTCTTTACGAAATCTTTATCCAAGGGATTATAATCCCGGTATTGTTATTCCACCTTCAATGTGGGATAAGTTTATACCAATATTTCGTATAAAATTATACCATTATTATTTAATACCAGTAATTAAACATGGAATAAATTTAATCCCAATTTTTATACTGGGATATCCCACTTTATACCTGTAACCAAACGACCCCTAAGAGTTGGCCCAAGGATATATATTATATTCAGAGATATTTTAAAAATCTATGCATAACCATATGCCTCCGTGATACACATGTAGTCCAACAAATGCACAAGTCCTCTATTGAATAACATGGAAATTCACAAAAGAAGTCCACAGTAATTCCAATTTCAAGAAACCAAGAATAGCCTGTGGAAGAAAACTATTGTGCTAATAGTGAATCGGTACCTTCACCATCAACAAATAGCTTCTACACTACAGAAAACCAATGCTACATTTTCCGTTTATTTTCTAGAGTTGTAATAAGCTATGATTCAACTTTTACTTAAAACTTTCTCTTTCAGGTCAAATCCTTTGAGAAATTGGAAAATAAATAGTCAATACATCTTTTGACTCTATCATGGTGGGCAAACTGTAAAGTTATTAAGGTATTAAAGTTGCTGTGACGACCCGGCCCGTCGTCACGTGAGTTACCGCTCCGTCTTCCCCATATTATGTTCCTCTATGCTTCATTATCGGTATTTGGGGTAATCGAGTTGGATTGGTTTGGTTTTGGTAGGAAATGAGACATTTAGTCTCTTTAAGGAAAGCTTGTTTTGGAAAAGTCAACCGGAAGTTGACTATATAGTTAGAGGGCTCGGATGTGAATTCCGGTGATTCGGTTAGCTTCGGGGGATGATTTGTGACTTAGGAGTGCGATCGGAATTGAATTTGGAGGTCCGGTGTAGAATTAGGCTTGAATTGGCGAAGGTTGAATTTTGGCGAATTCCGGTTGGTAGGTGAGATTTTGATCCGAGGGTCGGAAGGGAATTCCGAGAGTTTCAGTAGCTCCGTTAGGTGATTTTGGATGTGTGTGCAAAATTTCAGGTCATTCGGAGATGTTTTGGGTCGAGTTTTGATCGAATGCGTATTGCGGAAGTTTTGAAGAAACTTAGGCTTGAATTCGATGTGATTTAATGGTCTTAGCGTTGTTAGACGTGTTTTGAGGATTGGAACAAGTTTGAATAATGTTTTAAGATGTGTTGGTAACTTTGGTTGAGGTCCCGGGGGCCTCGGGGGTGATTTCGGGTGGCTAACGGAAGGAATTTGAAGTTGGAAAATTGCAGGTTTTTGGTTGCAGCAGGTGTTTCCGCATCTGCGGAAAGGAGATCGCAGATGCGGTCTCGCAGAAGCGAGCTAGACCTCGCAGGAGCGGAAATAGGAGCCTGGGTCAGGTTCCGCATACGCGGAATGTTGGACGCTTCAGCGGGTCCGCCTAAGCGGACATTGTACCGCAGAAGCGGTTTTGAGAGGACCGCAGAAGCGGAGTTCGAGTCGCATAAGCGAAGCCTGGGTTTTTAAGTGAAGACCGCATAAGCGGATTTTTGGCCGCAGAAGCGGTCCCGCATAAGCGGAAGCGGGACCGCATAAGCGAAAAACGCTGTTGGCAGAAAGGTTTAAAGGGTTTATTTCATCCGCGAGCTCCACCATTTTTCCTCCATTGTTGAGCGAGCTTGGGAGCTATTGACGCGATTTTGAGAGGGTTTTGACTGGGAATCAATTGGAGGAAAGTCCTATGGTCTAGAAACATCATTTTTATTGAAGAATCTACCTTCAATTCTTAGAAACTTGGGTAAAATTTGGAAGAACTAGGGCTTGGTTTTTGGAATGTAAAATGGGAACTTGAAGAGGCATTTGAACCCCGATTTTGATGAATTTGATATGTATGGACTCGTGGCGAGACGAGGAATCTGGTGATGCAATTCGAGAAGTGGGCCTGGGGCTCGGGTTTTACCAACTTCGTGATTTTTGATATTTTTCGAGTCTTTTCGATTGGGTTATGACCCATTTGCCTATTGTGATGTATTCCTTGTGGTTTTGATCAGATTCGACGCGCGAGGAGGTCGATTCGAGGGGAAAAGGCATAGCGAGCTAGACTTTTGGCCGGCTAGAGGTGAGTAATGATTTTGAATGACGTTCTGAGGGTTTGAAAACCCCGGACTTGCAGAACTTGGTGCTATGTTGAGATGAGACGCGCGTTCCATGACGAGCGCGGGGTCATTTACTATTGGGGACTGTGACTTGGTCCAGTCCGAATGATATTTTACCGCGTATTAGCAATGACTTGTTGTTTTCACTATGATTTGGACTTATTGTCATATTTGGGGCTTAGTGCCGACTGTTTGAACTCTTTATGAACTATCATCACTGTTTTCCTCACATAGTTTGAGATATTATTTGAACTCAGTCCATGTGATTTACACTGTTTCATGAACTCAGCTATATTTTTACTCAAACCTTGAGTTCTAACTGATATTTGAACTATTGTTGAGCTGAGCATTATTGTTTCTTTACTATTGCCCGAGGGGCTTATGATTACTTTTGGACTGATTGAGGCCGAGGGCCATATGTGAGGATATGCTGAGTGATGTGAGGAGGCTTTCAGGCCTCGAGTGCATTGTGAGGAGGCTTTCAGGCCTCGAGTGTATTGTGAGCAGGCTTTCAGGCCTCGTATTGATATTGTTCAGGCTTTCAGGCCTTGTTGATAGCGCTTGGGCTGTAGGAGCCCCTCCGGAGTCTGCACACCCACAGTGAGCGCGGGTACCCATCTAGAGTGATTAAATATTGAACAGTGGTAACAATGACACTGTTATACGCGTTTGGTCAGGTAACAATGACTGACCAGTCAGGTAACAATGACTGACCAGTGGTAACAATGGCACTGTAATACGCGTTTGGTCAGGTAACAATGGCTGACCGGTCAGGTAACAATAGCTGACCATACTTGAGCATACTTGTTTTATTAATTGTTTTCAAAGAGATTTTCTTCCTATATTTCCCTGGTTTCTACTGTTTATCTGATGTTGCTGCTTGAGATAGCATTATATGTGCCCTTGTGGGATTTTATGTTCTCAGTCGTTATTTAATTTTATTACTCACTGGGTCGGAGTACTCACATTACTTCCTGCACCATGTGTGCATAGACAGGCACAGCTAAGTTCGTACCTGAGCGCTGATTTCCTTCCAGACCAGGCGGACTAGGAGAGACGAGGTAGCTGTCGACGTCCACAGCCCCGTTTTCTTCCTTATCTTCTGCATATTTTATTCATCTTCAGACTATGTTTCCAGACTTGTAGTATTTTCACCAACTCTGTAGTAGCTCGTGACTTGTGACACCCCGATCATCGGGCTGAGTTTGGGATGGTTTTTCCCCGTTATGTTACGTTTATTTCCGCACTTATGATTAATCAGTATCTATGGTTTAAACCTATTATGCTAAGAAATTGTCAAAAGCAGTGTTGATTGTTCCGTTGGCTGGCCTTGTCTTCACGAGAGGCGTCATCACGACCGGGTGGGAATTGGATCGTGACAGTTGCGCTAGTGGATTGTACTGCACTTGGCAAAGTATAATCGCTAACAAGACAGTTCAGAGGTGCACGGGAAGAATAAGATGAGAAGAGTAATCAAAACCAGAGAAGCAGAAGTATCAAGTATCTAGACAATTTTGATGCAGATTATAGTGCACAAGTGTCTGTTCTTCGGATACACCTACAGCACAAACCTTTCCTAGAAGGTCATTTTTCTTGTTACACCACAAGATATATGCATGGGTTTGAGGCGGACGCAAAAACTTAGTACTCTATGTCACTTGTAACAAGAAAGACACTATAGCACTAAGGATGTTCGTCACAGTTTTTTAGCACATATGCACAGGTCCAGTTATCATCCAGAAATATAGAATTCCAGAAAGTTTTTTCTAAAACAATAGTGGGTAAAAGAAAACATTGTAATGCTACTTATGCAATTTTGTAGAATGGGAGTAAGCATACTTCTCCAGAAACTAGGGGTTCAAGCTTTCTTCCAAGCTTGTTCTTCCACAAGCTCCTTTACCATGCTGAGAGTTGTTCCTACCTACAAGTAGGAAACACGATCCCAAGGAAAAGCATATCACACACATTATTCCAACTTAACAACCAAAACTCACATAAGCATTCCAGGTAAACATCATATCAAAAGAAATACTATTGGAAAATGCATTTATCCTAATAAAAGAATTCAGTCAGCTGAAATGTGGACATAATTAACTTGTTGGAATCTGTCTTCTATAATATTGATTTGCATGCGCAATAAGTTACATAATCAAACGAATACAGAGGGAACCAAAGAATTTATAAGGAAATTTATAATTTACATAATTTACTTCTCTCTTATGAATCTCTTCTCCAACGGCATAACTAGGTTTTACAAGGCAGAGCTTTCTCAAACAGTTTCCAATACATGGAAACTTTGCTCTCATCAGGCATAATAGAATACATAATCACAGTAAATGAAATTCTAACTGGAGGTACACTTAATCCATATGAAAGCAAAGATTTATCTGAAGTTCTCAACTTTACAATGAGAGAGACTTCTAGGAAAACACATTTGATAATCTAGACGTAAATTGATAGATATTTTCCAAGAACTTCTCTTTTCTATAATATACAATCCTCAGTAATGCTCTATTCCAGAAGAGGAACAAGTGCAAGAAGAACTTATATCTCGGTCGAAAAGTACACATCCTGAAAAGATGCTAGTGCAGTGTCAACTAAAGACCAGTTGGCACTTGGCAGTCCTTCTAGACCGAAGGTGTAACTTTTGCAAATCTTTATTCTTCTATTCACCTTACAATATGGATGCCAGAAGAATCTAATTTAGCTGTCAGCTAAACGGATAAGTACGCTCTTGAAGGAGAGAAACTGAAATTTCACGTTTAAACTTTATCATGATTTTTGGAATTTTACTTTCAAAACTATATTTTATCGAAAGTTGAGAAATGTTTTAGTAGAAGTGAGAAGGTAGAGTACATCTTGCAAAATGCTTAGTTTTGAAGCAGCAAAGGGAATATTTATTACGTAAGGTCTATTCAATTTCTACTTCTCCAGAAATAGGATGCATATTTTCTCAGAATAACCTTAATAAACTAAGAAGCATATGATATGTACCTGTGTCTCCTCGCACAAGGACTCAAATTCATCCTGCAACATTTGAAACAGACGATTCAACATTGTTATTCCAAGTTAAAGGAGAGAATAACAAAATCTAACAAGTAATATATTTGATAGTCAACTCATATTTGATCAATTCAAAATGAGAAGCTAGTCAAAATACTACAAGTTAACTAGTGAACATGGAATAATACTTTGAAATAGACTATAGCTACAAAAAAAGTAAACCCAATAACAGGGTCATTAAACAAAACAAAAATGGAGAGACACTCAATCTGTATTCTCTTTCCACAAATAAGAACTATTATCTAAATGCCCCTGGTCACATTGAGAAGGAATGCAGATTCAATAAGAAGTTTCAAAGAATCGCACGTGCAATTAACCATAATATCTTAAACACAAACTAAAGATTCATTTCATGTATTAAAAAGCAAGAGTAAGCAGAACTTGGCATTGGTTATTTCGTAATATTCCAAGTTCCAACTGATAATAAATCATGATATTATAGAGTAGAACATCTAAACGCTAGTATTCTTCAAAACTCTCTCTAAGCAAGAAGCCTGTTTCTTTAGGGATAAAAGCTAAACATCAGTTGAGCTTATTGGGAAATAGAAATACCCGATATAGATAGACATCACAGACACAAACCAAGTATGTGACAGGCTATTAATCAATAGTAACTGTTAGCAAGAGAATCAATTGAAAAAGTATTGAATCACAATTAAAGATTATGCTTGTAGTGTTTCAAAACGCAACATCAAACAAACCAAAGCCCTAGCATTAATGGAACAAAATCAAAGATGTTTGAGATTAGGAAGATTCATCAATACTGCCGATTAAACAAGCATAACAATTATTACTAAACAAACAGAGATGATTGATAGCAATAAGTTGTACACGTCCTTATATTCTTTTATTAATTATTTACTTATAAAGGTGGTGTTTAGGCTAGCTTGCGGGCACCTCCATTATTCCATTAGGTATCTGCTACCTCCCATCGGCACAGATGCCACGTAACTCTGCCCACCAAGAATTACGCAGAAGGCTAACTTTTCACCATAATGCATAACCTTCATTCTTTGTAGTAACACTAAACATAATTCCGTGCAAATTTAACCAAGGGAAAAAAGGGCCATTAAATTGTATTCATGACATACCTCTATGCTCTCGTACAAACAAGTAATGACCTGAAAGAGACAAAACATTCATGGGAGAAGAAAAAAATTAAGCAAGTCAAAAATATGTAAATAACTAGAATTAAGCTAAAAACAAGGATTTAAATTATATACACTGACATTGTAAATGATTTTTACACGAGACGTTCAATTTAACCGAGTATTCAGGTTATTACTCTATTTTATAGGTTACTATAAAACTTACTATGAAGATTTACCTATTATTGTAAGTCAATTTAACCTAAAACGTAAAAAAATTTCACCGATAGTGCATAAAACTTAAACTCAAAAGGATTCCAGTTATATCTACTGACAATGTAAATTACGTTTACACCAAATGTCAATTTTTACACATGAACTTAAACTCAAAAAGGATTTAAGCGATAGCATAATCTATTAATGCCACATTGGTGCTTTCATCCAGAGGTGTGGTGAGCTCTTCGATAGATGGAGGACCAAATATGTCGAACTAACGAAGATTCAATTAAGGTCATGATTGCTGAAATTCGTTAATTGTTACATGAGTTGGTGGGAAGCATTGAAACAAGTAAGCCTACTCGGCTGGGATTTCGACGATTCTGTGGCGAGAATCCAGAATTATGGATTTCTCAGATTGAAACAACATGTTACTTCTCACCTTGACCTATCTCAATGGAGAAGCTTTGAAGTGGTACCAATGGCTTTTACGGAACAAGAAATTGGCGGATTGGGAACATTTTACTGCAAAAGTGTTGATTCACTTCCGTAAAATAGCGTCTCGAATCGCCGAAAGGTCATTTGGCTGCAATCAAGGAATATTCCACAAAGATCTAAGCCCAGGTGTTCGACAAAATGTCACATAGTTGTTGTTCCAAGGTGTTTGAGACTGACAAATCAGATATTAAAGTCATTACTAATACAACAAAATCAACTTTAAACATCACAAAATCAGAGGAGGTCCAAGTGTTTGATGGAAGCTCTCACAGAAAGTCAGAAACAAATTTGACTGAAATCCACTTTTGAAATTGGACAATCAGCGGATGACAACTCATTCATTGCAACAGCTAGATCAAGCATTCCTCCTCTGTAGCTGATGAAGAAAATTAAACCACGACCATTGAAAAAGTGATCACTGACAATTTTTGTAAGAATGGTAGCTTCGCCCGGTCTAGCTGCGAGACTTTGCAAACCAAGGTGACTGATGCAACATTTGACAATGCTACTGGTATTTCTTTGGACTTTGTTCCCATTATTTCCTTAGTGGTCTCAATTGGTTACAATCAACATGTAACTCCACCATTCGTACCTACACATGAGGAAGAGGGAAATGTGTGAAACAATGTAGCTCGAGAGTTGGAAAATTCTCCTCTAGAGGACAAAACAGGTTACCGGATTCCTTTTGCTAGTCAAGGATCTGTTGTGTCAAATTCTATTGGGGGATTTGCTGGAATAGCATATCCATTTGCTGGGGCTTCTCAACATATATTATGGCTTCACTATGATTTTGGCTTATACAAATACACTTGGGTTGCTACTGACAGCATGATTCCCTGCTATTGCCTGCAAAACAAACTAAGGGCTATCATATATATTCAGAGTATAGCACTGATGCAAGCGATACTGGCTTACCAATTTGTAGCTATGTGGACAAGTGGTTTGACACTGGGCAGGAATTTAAGGTTGCTTCAGGTATTGTTGAAATAGGTATTAAACATAATGGTAGTGTTATCAGGTCTTGTGCAATATATAAGCTATGGGGAGAGTCTATAGCAAATTCATTTGTATGCTCTTATGATGATGCTACAACTCAAATTAAGGATGAACACCTAATTGATCAACTGAGGGTTTTTTCCGAGTGGAAAGGCTCTTGAGCTAAGTGATTTATACCAAGTTTTAATTTTCACAATGGTACTTTGGGTTAATGAAACTGTTATCATTAGAGATGAACCTTTGCAGGGTGTTGCTGCTATTACAAAGAAGCTTACATTAGGGATTAATTCTACATTTTCTATTCCCTATGACATGGCCATGTATGATATTCAAAAAGTTTTAGATGATCATTGGAATCAATCAATTCTTGGACACTCTGGTAAAGTCTACCCTCAACATGGACTCGAGCATGCTCAACGCTTGGAGAAGATGCCTTGTATTCTTTCCATTTGCAATTATTCCAAGCTTATACGCTAAGTTGCTAGGACACCGGTGTAGGTGTCCGACATGGGTGCGGATCTAGAGGTTGGATCCTTCGAGATGTAAATTCTATGATTCGGGATACGGATACGGGTGCAAGGATCCGGCTAAAAATATTTCAAAAAAAATATAAAAGGTATCTCTAAATTATGAGAAATTTTGGGGAATACTTATGTATAGCTTGTAAAGTGTGGATTTCTTTTTTATTCTCAAGTTGTAGATAAGAAAAGGATAGATTTCCTAGATAAGGTATGTAATTTTCTTCAAATTTACCCTAATTTTGGGTTTGATTTCGGGAATTAAATTGTGTATTAATCAAAAGGGAGAAAAAACTCCAGCATACAAGAAGTATACCAAAAAGTAGTGAATTTACATCAAAACATGATTCTCTACAAAAGACGCCCAATCTTCTATACAAGTAGGGACTATATGAGTGCACCAAAAAGCGATCAAAGATAAAAGATTGTTCTTAAGATGTGAAAAAGGTGACTTAATCCCCTCAAAAGCTCTCCTATTTCTCTCCCCCCAAACTATCCACATGAGAGCTAACGGGGCGAACTTCCACGCCTTTTGCTTTCTTCTTCTACGAAAACCGGTCCAGCTATATAAAATTTCCTTTACAGTGCTTGGCATCATCCATTGAACACCAAAAAGATTCAGGATTGAGCTCCACAAACCTGAGGACACAGGGCAATCAGCAATGCAACAAAAGATGATCAACTTCTTCCTTTGAGCGTTTACACATGTAGCACTAACAAGTGTAATTCCTCTCTTTCGCACATTTCAAGTAGTCAAGATCACTCCCCTCGCCGCTAGCCATGCAAAAAAGCACACCTTCGTGGGCGCCTTAGGAATCCAGATCGAGGAGTAAGGAAAAGTGGCCTCCTCTCTCACCAACATACTCTGGTAAAAGGACTTTACGGTGAACAAACCATCGGCACGCAACCTCCATATCCAAGAATCACAAGATGGCTGGGGCTTGTCTTGCCCATATAGCAGTGCCAACAAATATTGGAGCTCTGCAATCTCCCAATCTTGCATGTTCCTTCTAAATGAGAGGTCCCATACTACCCCCTTCATGCTCCTTGCGAATCTGTTGGACCATCAATTCCTTCTGGTTTGAAACTCTGAAGACGTGGGGGAAAGAGACCCTCAGAGTATCCTCTCCACACTACCTGTGATTCCAAAAGTTGATTCTCCTTCCATCTCCCACCGGTAAGTGATGTTGCCATTGAAGGCTTCCCAATTCTTCATGATGCTCCTCCACATGCCACACCCGAAAGGTGTTGTGATTGCCTTGGTCCTCCGACCCCCTCCCGCGGAATCGTACTTTTCTACTATGACCTCCATCCATAGAGCATGCTCTTTTACCCCGAATCTCCACAGCCACTTCCCCAACAAAGCTCGGTTGAATACCCTAAGATCTCTTACTCCAAGTCCATCCCACTTCTTTGGGGAAGTGACTGTCTGACAATTCACTAGATGAAACTTTCTAGTTCCATCCGCCGCATCCCAAAGAAAATTCCTTTGAAGTCGCCAGTTTATACGTGATGCTCACAGGATCTTGCAACAGGGACAAGTTATAGGTGGGCATACTCGATAAAGTGCTTTTAATAAGCACTTCCTTACCACCTTTTCACAAGTACCGTTTCTGGCTGCTTGCTAATCTTTTTTTAACCCTTTCGGTCACTAGATTCCAAACCGTAGTATCATTATGCGAAGCGCCCAACGGGAGACCCAGGAAAGTAGTGGGAAGAGAGCCCACCTTACATTTGAGAACATGAGACAAAGCATCAATGTGAGCAACCTCACCCACCGGGAAAATCTCACCCTTGCCGAGGTTGATTTTGAGTCCTGATACTATCTGAAACCACTGCAGGACCTGCTTCAGGTAGGTCAACCTATCCATATTGGCATCACAGAAAACCAGGGTGTCATTCGCAAAAAGCAAATGAGAGAGACTTCGGGCACTGAGCACCCCGATCGGAGCTAAGAATCCTCTCAAGAAGCCTCCGCCCGCCGCATGATCCATCATTTTACTCAGAGGATCCATCACTAGAATGAATAGTATGAGGGATAGGGGGTCACCTTGCCTGAGACCCCTGGAGCTGCCAAAGAAACCCCACGGGCTACCATTAGCCAGGACAGAGAATCTGACTTAGGAAATACAGAACTTGATCCATCCCCTCCATCTTACCCCAAACCCCATCCGCATCATAATGAAATCCAGGAACTCTCAATTGACATGGTCGAAAGCCTTCTCAAGGTCCAACTTGCATAGTAAGCCGGGTTCTTTATTTTTCCTTTTGGAGTCTACAAGTTCATTTGCAAGATAGTTTCTTGTCCACCAATCGGTATTTGATGATGATGGAGAACTCTATAGTCCTTTGTGCACAAATAATTCTGTTAAAGAACAAGACTATCCTGCTTGCTTGGGCTATCAATGTTCTTGTTGCTAGTTTAGAGAACATTTCCAGGAAGCTCACGTCTAGTGTCTCTTTTCACAGCAAGCACCAATCTTGTTGCCCTATGTTCTATGGTGAAGTTGTGCCAATAATTGTGAATGTTGCTGTGACCACCAGTTCACGTCACATTGACGAAGTTCTGATAATCACCGGTAACATTGCTCTTGACCTGAACCTTGAGGACAAGGTTCTTTCGGAGGGCGGGAGTATTGTTGTAAACTGTAAAGCGGTCTGACTAGGTAAGGGATTATGGGCCAGAAGTGTGAAACGAGACAAATCCAGTTGGGACCATTGAACCAAGGGCTAAAGGCCCAATGAGTAGACTGGCGAATAGAATACTAGGACGTTATAATTGGGATTCGAAGGGAGATACGGGGCATGCGTATTGCGAGTATAGTGTCTGTTTCCTCTCATCACCATTCTAGACTCTGTGTCTCTCACTCCCTTTCTCTTTATCTATGTATTTTTTATTCTAGTTCTTTAGCTTTTATCTGCAGTCACAAGCATTTTGAGTTGAGGTGTAATTCGTACTTTGCTTACCAGAGCAATAAAAAAAGGAGTTGAATTGGGTTTGTTACATTGGTGCTTTCATTGTTACAAAAACATAATCTAAAAATGCCACATCAATGTATAAGTTTACACGGAACTTAAACTCGAAAACAAATTGCGATATCTCCAAACTTCGGTGCTGAATTTTAACTTACTTAACGAATAAGTCCAATTTCCAATAAAATATTCTAAATTTCTCAAATTCTGAAGCCTTAAGAAAATATTTACAAAAAATGAGTAGAATAACAAAAGGCTGACCTGAACATATACCCGATGAAGGCATTCTACTTCTGCTGGAGCGAAATTGGGGAAAGTTTCACCAAACTTCTTCAAATCATTCATCAAAAAAGAAGACAATAATTAAAGCAGTGTTTTCGGGTATTTCTCAAAGAAATGGTATATTCACGAAGAAAAAAAAAAGAGAAAAGTATTTTTTTTAGTGTACCTCTCTGGAACAAGAAGTCAGCAATGGGTGAACTCCGATCACAAAGGCTTTCTTCAAGTTTGAGTATGTCGTTCCTCGATCTGTTGCTAATTCACTTGCGTGCTCCATTTTCAACAATGGCTGGAGATTGAAAAATGAGCTGACCTTGGAAATTTTAATATACACATATTATATATATTCCATGCACGAGTCCCCTGTATATAACTTTGTGTCGTCCAAAAGTTGTTACAAAAATAATAATATAATTCAGCATAATCTTTAAGAATATACAATGTAAATTATAAAAATATTTTTATTTAAATAATTATTTTTATATTACGTGCATGGAATATATATTTTACAATCTTTATTTTCTTTTATTCTGAATTGTGTAAATAAATTTTTGAAATATTGTTATTAATACTAAAATTATTATTACTAGAATTAGTTTAATTAATTTTCTTTTACTATGCTCATTATTTTGTTATTCCAGCATTATGCATGCTTAAATACTTTTTATTTTTTTAAATTTATAAATAATATTTATTTATTCTATAGGTAAGTCCATAATATAAATTAAAAAGGGAAAATCATAATATTAAAAAAAAATTAAATAAATAAAAAGAAGATAAATGTTTATAATTTAGAGGGTAAAATTGTCACGACCCAATTTCCACACCCGGTCGTGATGGCGCCTCTCGTGAAGACAAGGCCAACCAACTAACCCAATCCGTTTCTTTAACAATTATTAAACATAAATGTATAGATAAACATAGCTTAACGACAATAATAACCAGTATGTACAACCCAACACAACCCGACCGGGGTGTCACAAGTCACGAGCATCTAAAGAAACCTGAACACAACTACAGGGCCAATAATAATATATAAGGAAAAATCCTAGAAATCAAAAGACAACATCCGGTGCCGCGAACGCTGGCGGTCACCTTACTCAGCTACAATAGCCATACCTTCAATCAGCTAATAACCCGCTACCGGGTGAACAATACCTGCAACTGCACGCGAGGTGCAGGGAGTAAAGTGAGTACTTCCAACTCAGTGAGTAATAAGAGTAAATAATAACTGAGAGGCAAGAAATCACGTAAGAGCACTCCATCATGCTATATAGGACAGTACCACTCTTTGAGAAAACAGTAAAACCGTGAAAATCCTTTAGAAAATATCTAGCTCAGTTTAAAACCTCTTTTGAAAACATCCTTTTCCAACAGTCAAGCAAATGAACGCATAATCAGATAGTGCAACTCCGCACATAAGACAGCCCCTCGGGCACAACACTCCACAAACAGTTAACACCAGGGCGTCTGGTAAACAGTACAAGCAATAACATGGATGCCAATGATATGAGAGTGCTAAATGTCATGACACGTAGTACAAACAGGAACCAATGCATATGATCGCTGCGGCGCGCAGCCCGATCCATTTGGGTACCCGCGCTCACTGTAGGGGTTCAGACTTCGGAGGGGCTCCTACAGCCCAAGCGCAATATCATCATAGTATCGCTGCGGCGTGCAGCCCGATCCATCCTCAGTCCAGAACATGCATATGAGCCACTCGGGCAATGTCAAGTAATAGCTTTTAACTCAAAACATCAGAAAAATGCAATTTAAGTCTTTAAACTTTAACAATATGACTGCACATTTCAAAACAGGGTTTAACTCAGGACTAAAATCATTTAATATGCTAAGTGTCATGAAACAGTGATAATAATCCCTAAAGGATTCAAATAATCGGCACGAAGCCCAAAACATGGCAATCAACCCAAATCACGATAGCATCAAGTAGGTTTCAGTCAATTACGCAGTAAAATCAACAACCGGGACGGACCAAGTCGTAATTCCCAATGGTGCTCTACCCCACGCTCATACCTGGCGTGCAAGTCACCACAATACAGCACTATGATGTGCAAATCCGGGGTTTCAAACCCTCAGGATATCATTTACAAGTATTACTCACCTCGAACCGGTGAAATCTCTATCTCTCGACGCCTTTTCCCCTCAAACCGGCCTCCACACGCGTCGAATCTAACCAAAATCAGAGCGAATACATTACAATATGCCAAGGGAACAATACCCAATCGAAAACAACCAAGAAATAGCAGAAATCTCGAGACTAGCAAAACCCGAGCCCCGGGCCCGCTTCTCGAAAAATTACGAAATTTACATCACCGGATTCCTCGTTTCGCCACGAGTCCATACATATAAAGTTCACCAAAATCGGAGTTCGTTTGACCCTCCAAATTCCATTTTTACATCAAAATTCTCAAACCCTAACTTACCCCATTTTTACCCTTTAATTCCTTGGGTTTTCAGTGTTAATTCATGTTTATACACAATAATAACATAATCTAAGCCCAAGAATCCATACCTGATGATAGCCCTCGAAACCCTCTTCAAAAATCGCCCAAAATCTCCTTAGTCCGAAGTCCAAAATGTTGTTCTTTCAAAAATTCGCGAAGATGATTAATTTCACTTAACTGCCAGGCATTTCGCTTCTGCGGATCCAGTACCGCTTTTGCGGCTTCCGCTTATGCGGTCAACGTCCGCTTTTGTGGACCTTTCACTTAAGGCAACCTTCCGCTTCTGCGGTCCCCAATCGCATCTGCGGGACCGCTTAAGCGATCCAATGTTCCGCTTCTGCGGAACCTGACCAGGGTTCCAAATTCCGCTTCTGCGAGGTCTAGCTCGCTTCTGCGAGGCCGCCTATGCGGTCCTCCTTCCGCTCCTGCGGAATCTGGCAAGGGCCAAGACTTCCGCTTCTGCGCATCTTCCAATCGCTTCAGCGAGACTGCACCTGCGGTCCCATAACCGCAGGTGCGAAACCAACAAATACCAGCAAGGTTGAACCTGCAATTAACTCCAAAAACCTTCCGTTTAACCACCCGAATTCACCCCGAGGCCCCCGGGACCTCAACCAAAAACACCAACACATCCTAATACCTTATTCAAACTTGTTCCAATCCTCAAAACACTTCAAACAACGCTAAAACCATCAAATCACATCGGATTCAAGCCTAAGTTTCTTAAAAACTTCCGAATTACGCATTCGATCAAAAACCCAACCAAGCGACGTCCGACTGACATGAAAATTTGCAGACATATCCAAAATCACCTAAAGAAGCTACTGCAACTCTCAAAATTCCATTCCGACCCTCGGATCAAAATCTCACATATCAACCGGATTTCGCCAAAATGCTAACTTCGCCAATTCAAGCCTAATTCTACACTGGACCTCCAAAACCAATTCAGATCACGCTCCCAAGTCACAAATCATCTCCCGAAGCTAACCGGATCATCGAAAATCACATCCGAACCTTCGAACTCTTAAGTCAACGTCCGGTTGACTTTTCCAATTTAAGCCTTCCTTAAAGAGACTACGTGTCTCATTTCCTATCCAAACCAATTCAATTCAACTCTAACTCACTCGTTGATGATAATGAAACATGAAGAAGCAATAAATGAGGAAAACAGGGCGGTAATACCTGATACGACGGGTCGGGTCGTTACAAAAATAGTCATTTGGCAATCCAAAATTTGAAAAATCTAGTTGAGTGACCTTCTGAGTGCAATAGGCATAGTTTAGTGACTTTGTTGTTACAAACAAAAGTAAAGTGACTTTAGGAGAAAATTTGGGATAGTTGAGTGACCATTTGAGTAATGGACTCCATACATTCACCACTAACAATAAAACACAATATATACTAACACACACACACACACACACACACACACACACACATATATATATATACATACTACATTAAAAGCACGAAGGTCCTTAGCGAATTGTCGCTCGCCTTTTTTACCCTTTAAAAATAAATATAACATTGAATAAAATTGTCATTTTACAATTTTACGTCATCAACAAGTGGTCCAATAATGTTCAAAATGCTCTCGGCGCACGTTAGTTAAACGTACGCTGAGCTTGTAGCCATGGCGAGAGGAAGAGACAGAGGTAGAGGACGACTGCGTAAACATCCACTAGCAGCAATTGAGAACCTACTAGCAACAGTTAAGCAACCAGTAATGGAGAAATTAGCTCCAGTAACCACTCCTCCAACTACAGTTCAGAGCATAGATCCATCAATCGGAGGAACTGCATGTTCAATTGGCTCAATATCGCACCAATCTACTGTCTCAAAGAAGCTTGATCTAGCTTCTCCAGCTCCGATTGGAATAATACCAGATCCGGTGAAAGTTGCAACCAATGGAACAATTACCATGCAAAATCCAGTGCAGAACCAAGTTCACTCAACGGAAGAACATGTGGAACCAGTGGTCATAAACAAAACAACAGAAGAATCTAAACATTCATGGGCAAACCTCTTTCAGAAGAACAGATCTGCAACAAATGGTATGTCACTAGACTACATTCCACCGCTAGTTGTAGATGGGCAGCCTATAGTTCAATTAAACAAATTAGAGGTAGAAGAGGAAGAGAACAAGTGGAAATGTGCGTTGATTGCTTACATTTTAGGAGACGGGCCAGGGTATAATGTGATGAAGAGAAATATTAACTTGCACTGGTCACATATACCAGAACCAGATCTATTCTATCATGATGGAGGTTATTACATAATCAGATTCAAAACTATGGAAGATGCTCATGAAATCCTTTGTGCTGGACCTTATTCCATAGCTAACAGACCTATAATTCTGAAACCATGGACCCCTGATTTTGATTTCACTGAGGAATTCCCTACTGTTATTCCACTATGGGCTAAGTTTCCCAAGCTTACTATGTCATGTTGGGGAATGAGATCATTGAGCAGGATAGCCAGTGTATTAAGGAGGCCTATTTTTGTTGATAAGTGCACAACTAAACAAACTAGTCTCCTATGCTCGGATGCTTATAGAAATTAATGTCACTAAAGAGCTGCCAAGTGAAATATGGGTGATGGACCCAAATGGGAAGAAATTCTTGCAAGATGTTATTTGTGATTGGAAACCTGCCTTTTGTGAGAAATGTCAAGTTGTAGGCCACATGTGTTCAACCCAAGTGAGACCAGTTACACAACAACCTAACCAATTGAAGAAAGCTAAAGTTACACAGGAATGGAGAACCAAGGCCCCTGTACCTGCAACACCTTTTCAAAGAGAAGCAACATCCTCTGCATCACAACATGATATTGCAAATAAGATAACTGAAATTCAGAGCCCTAAGGTGAGCAATGATCTACCAAGTCTGGTCCCAGTTGTTGAAAAACAGGAAGACAAAGGGAAAAAAGTACAAAGCCCAGAATGGAATCTCATTAACTTTCCCCCCTTATCACCCATTCCTGTGAGCAATAAATTTGAAGTTGTGTATAGTGACAAGTATGAAGTGCCACTTGGGGATAGAGGTGGACCAAGTAATCACCAATGAAGTGGTTGTTCTGGAATATTAGAGGTGTAAATAAAAGGTATAAACAGAAGGAAGTTAGGGAGTATATTAGAAGCAATAAAATAAAGCTAGTAGGATTAGTAGAAACAAATGTTAAAGAGGATAATGCTCGTAGAATTTCTAAGTTTCTGGTTCCTGGATGGGGCATGCTAGCTAACTATAATGAAGCTAGAAATGGGAGAATATGGATATTATGGGATGCAAATCTGCTTACTGTTACTGGACTTCATGATGATCCTCAAATGATTCATTGCCTAGTTAGAAGTATAAGGGGAGATATAACATGCTACCTCACTATTGTTTATGGTTTCAATGGGATAGACCAAAGAAGATCACTATGGTAAAATCTGCAACAATTTTCAACAACTATCACAGATGCTTGGTTAGTTGCAGGGGATTTTAATGCTATATTATATCCCAATGATAGAAAATCATGTAATCCAGTTAGTTATTCAGAGATCCAAGAATTTGGTTACTGTATTCAGCAAGCAGGACTATCAGAACTACCTTGGAAGGGAGATTATTATACTTGGACAAATAAGCAACCTGAAGCAGATAGAGTATATAGCAGATTGGACAGAGTTTTTGGCAATTATGAGTGGATGATGACTTGGGGACATTGGGAGACAACTTATGATCTACCTCAAATCTCTGATCATAATCCTATGATACTGACCCTAGCAGCTTCTTCTTGGAAAGGAAAGGTTCCTATTCTTTAATGCATGGGTTGATCATGATGATTTTCATCAGATTGTGGCATCCTTTTGGAACTCTACAAATAAATCTGGATCTATGAAAGCAATATGGTCTAAGCTTAAAGCATTAAAAGCCCCTCTAAAGGCTTTGAATGCTAAGGAGATCAAGGGCATTACTCAGAAGATTGATCAAGCCAGACTGGAGTTGAAGGAAGTTCAAGAACAACTTGCAAATTCTTACTCTGATGCCTTATTACAAAAAGAAAAAGAAATAGTACTCAATCTAGAAATGTGATCTTTAATTGAAGAAAGTGTGGTGCAACAGAAAGCAAGAGCAAAATGGATTCAACTTGGAGATTCTAATACTAAGTACTTCACTGTAGTTATGAAGGAAAGATCACAAAGAAAGCAAATCAGAGAAATTACAAATGGTTTAGGTGATAGAGTAACTGATCCTGCAAATATAAAAAGGGAGATTCTGGGATTCTACAAGGCGCTTATGGGCTCAGCAGCTAAGTCCCGTCCTGCTATAAATAGATTGTATATGGCTAATGGTCCCACGCTATCCCAGCAAGAAAGAATGGATCTTTGTGCAGAAGTAAATGATCTAGAAATTTTGGAGAGTCTCAAAGCCATTGGAGATGACAAAGCTCCAGGAATTGATGGCTACAATGCTGTTTTTTTCAAGAAAACCTGGAGTATCATCAGCAGCCAAGTTAAAGAAGCTGTCAAGGAATTCTTTCTAACTGCCAAGATGTATAAACCAGTAAATTACTCCACCATCACTCTAATACCTAAAGTCTCCAAGCCCACCACAGCAAGGAGTATAGACCAATTGCCTATTGCTCAGTGATGTATAAAATGATACCTAAAATCCTAGCTACTAGGCTTCAAAAGGTCATGCCAAGCATAATATGTGAAGCCCAAGCTGGTTTTATTCCTGGCAGGAAAATAGCTGATAATGTAATCCTGGCTCATGAATTAGTCAAATCCTATACTAGAGCCCATATATCCCCCAGATGCATGATTAAAATTGACCTCCAGAAAGCATATGATTTAGTAGAATGGATTTTTCTACAACAGGTGATGGAGGAGATTGGCTTTTCTACCAGATTCATTAATTGGACTATGGAGTGTATCAAAACAGTTAGCTATACTGTTCTTATAAATGGAGAACCTACAGAGACTTTTGAAGCTGCTAGGGGACTTAGACAAGGAGATCCTATCTCTCCTTTCTTGTTTGCAATAGTAATGGAATATTTGAGTAGATCACTTGCTGAGTTGGGGAAAGAGGCCACATTCCATTACCACCCAGATGCAAAAAACTGGGCATCACTCACATGAGTTTGCTCATGACCTCCTGCTATTTGCCAGAGGTGACCTAGCTTCTATTGCTGCTATGTACCAGTACTTCTCTCAATTTTCTGAAGCTTCGGGACTATAGGCTAACCTAGGTAAAAGCTCAGTTTATTTTGGTGGAGTGAAACAGGAAGTGAAGAAACAGATTGTAGATCACCTTGGATTTGTACAAGGAGAGCTACCATTCAAATACTTAGGCATTCCCCTTTCCACTAAGAAAATTGCTTTGATCCAATGGCAACCTTTAATTGAGAAAATTACTGCTAAGATCTCTTCATGGACTGCTAAGAAGTTATCATATGCTGGTCGAGTGCAACTAATTCAATTTGTGATTTTTGGCATTCAATCATACTGGGCACAGCTGTTCATCATTCCAGTTAAAGTGCTGAAGATGATTGAAGCTATATGCAGAAGCTATATATGGTCTGGCGGCAACACTATTACTAAGAAAGCTTATGTTTCTTGGGAAAGAATGTGTACTCCCAAATCTGCTGGTGGACTGAACCTCATCAACCTTCTTCTATGGAATAAGGCAGCAATTGCAAAAGTGTGCTGGGATTTAGCTCATAAAGAAGATAAGCTCTGGATCAGATGGATCAATGCCTTTTATGTGAAACAACAACAGCTGGAGGATATGCCAATCCCAAAACAGGCTAGTTGGATGGTCAGGAGAATAATTGCTTCAAGAGATATCTTACAACAAGCTCAAAGTTCAAATGATCACAGGTGCACCATCAGACAGCTATACCTACAGCTCTTAGGAGATCTACCAAGAGTAAGTTGGAAGAACCTGCTTTTCCAGAATTCTGCTCGACCAAAAGCTGTGTTTAACCTATGGTTACTGCTACAAGGAAGATTACCAACCAAGGATAGATTAGTCAACTGGGGATTGAACATTAGCCAACAGTGTGTTCTATGCCAAGGACATGCAGAGACAAGAGATCATCTATTTCTGCTATGCTCTTATACAGCAAAGGTGTGGGAACAAGTAATGAAATGGATTCAAGAAAATCAGTCAAATAATCATAATTGGGATCAACATCTTTAATGGATCATCAACAAAGCCAAAGGGAAATCAAGTAAGGCCAGCATTTTCAGATTGGTGATCGCTGAAGTCTCCTATGCAGTATGGATGGAAAGGAATACACGTATATTTGAGCAGAGATACCGCAGTAGTGAAGCCTTAGCAAGAGAAATAGCTTATATCCGTAATGTTAGAGTAATTCCTAGAGCTAGAAAGCAAATGCAGCAATTTTTTATAGTAGAGTAGCTTAACAGAGTTATGTTATATCTAAGTAGATTAGAGGATGATGAGATAGTCAGCTGAGTTTATGCTGGACTATGGATATGTAAAGCTTGAACTTTGGTGATTAATACAACAAGTTAATTACCAAAAAAAATATAGTTGTATTAACAGTATTTTAGTTATGCTCAATACATGATTTTTTTAGATCTTTCGGTAATCAATGTATTTATATTTAGTTGTATTTATCTATTTTTGAAGTCTAGTAAAAACTTTGATTAAATATACTAAATGTACAGGAACCACTTACAGTATATGTCACACCTCCTTTTTCTCGAGGGGATAGGGAGTTTTTCCAACTAAAATGACATTAATCGAAATGGGATTAATTTATTCAGAGTCGCCGCATGGAATAATTTGTGGTGTCCCAAGTCACCGGTTTATTTTAAATGCCAAATCGAGGAAATTTGACTCAATTTTAAAGTCCACGAAACCAGAAGACCGAGTAAGGGATTCTGTTAAACCCGGGAGAAGGTGTGAGGCACTCCCGAGTTCCGTGGTTTTAGCACGGTCTCTCAACTATTAATAATTGGCCAAATTATCTAAATTACATGTGTTTAAGACTTAATGTGCATTTTTTACTTTGTAACCGCTTTTAATTTATTTATGGAGTTTATATAAATAAGTCGCGATGTCGCGCACTTACTTTTTTTGTACACACTGCGAATCGCGTCACGTGAAACGCACCCGCGGTTCACAATATGTTTATTTTTATATTATTTAAAATTGTAAGGTCAAGTCACGCAAGCGTGCACTCGAATTTGGGGTTAGATGCCACAGTTATGTCACGGAAATCATACCCATAACTATGAAGAATTATTAATTAATCACGTCTAAAGCATAGGCCAAATTATTTTCTTTCACTAGTAGGCTAGTATATCAATTAAGTAAAAGGGTCACTGCTCATTATGCATATGACCGTAACAGCTTACAGCTCACCAATACGATTCAATGGCATTCAATGGCTAACTATAAGGAGGGGGTTATGGGTGGGGGGAGGGGGGGAGTAAAAAGGAATAAAGACGACAATAATGAAAAGGAAACTAAAAGGGACATCATGATTTTCAATTAACAAGAAGCAAGCAAAATTACACATGGAAATATAACTGACCCAGCAAGAATGAAAAACAAAACTTTTCTCATTTCTTCTTCCATCAACAAAATTATCCAAAATTTCATAAACACAAGGTAACGCTAGAACTTCCTCAAAACGAGGAATAAACTTAGCTAGTCCCTTAAGTATAGGCATAGAACTAACTTTGTCCCTTATTTACATTATTAAATGTAAAACATCTCATATGTTTGTAAAAATGAATAGCTTTAGTCTATTCCTTAACATGGTTAGTAAACCTTACGGGATAATGGGTGAAGCTGGGTTAAAAATCACGGCTGTGACCTGTTGTTAATCTAACATTGATTCTCCTCATCTTCAACCTAGAGATGCCCATTAAACCCCTTCTCTCCGAACTCTTTTATTCTACCCAAAATTCCAATAAACAAATCCCTATTCGGTGAAAGATATATACCTACATTAATGGATCGAAGTTCAATCGAAAGAAAAAAAAATTCGAGCCCTAATCTGTTATCAATTTATGTGCTCTCATCTTATCCAATTTCAGAACAATATAAACCTACAACTTTGGCATCATTGAAATTTTCCAAATTCACTGTTATTCCTCAATTGACTGGTTAGATGATGGCTGGTGAATGATAATAAAATTGCATTTTCTCTTTTTGTGTGATAAAATGTGTCGTCCAAAAATAATTTGTTATTATTACAAAGGAACTAAAAAACTAATAGTACTACCTAAATGGTTGTTTCTTTAGAAAAAAAGAATGATGAACAATGAAGAAGCAGTTAGCTTTCCCTCATATTGATCCTAATCCATGCTATGCCGTGTGTGCCGAATAACTAACGAGCATCTTCTTACATTCTCTTTTACTCATTTTCCTTCTCATGGCTACAACTAGTGCAAAGAAGAAAAGGTCCTCATTTATTTCCTCTGACATTCTTTTAGTATTTAGTTTAACAGTTGCCGTTGACAGTAAAACTAACAGTGTCAAGAAGTAGACTAAAGCTATCCACTTAAGGATATTTTATATCCAGTTGTATAAAAAAGGAACAAAGATAGTTGTATACCCATACTTAAGGGACTATCTAAGTTTATTCCTCCAACTAAAACATGAGACTATGAAAATGATTAAATAGAGCACATATATTACACATTTCTATTTAAATGTCCATTTAAAAATAAACTTAATAAAAGGCTGTGAAAATCGATAGAAATCAGTTTCAAAATATAACCAAACAAAATTAATAAGGCAACATAATAACAAATACATAAATTAGCTATTCAAAAAGTAGTAGAAACAAAATGGAGACGAACCTTAAGGATTGAAACTATATATTTACTTGAAAGAAATTCCAACCGCGTACAAAGCTTGAAAAAGAATCGGCAATCAAACTTAAACAACAGCCACAACCACACCGGAAAAACTCGAACAGAACCGGCGACTCGATACCTCAACGGCAAACTCGAAAACGACCGTTAAAACTCAACTGCTGGGCCATTTGGAGCTGCTGTTTTGTGCGAAAAACTCCTATTTTCACTAGGTTTCAGGGGCTGTTTTTGGGGCAACTTCCGGACGAAAAGAGGGCTGGTTTTGGGGTATTTCAGCTGGTGGTTTGGGGCGTTATTTGGGTAGTTCAAAGCTGATTTTTGAGGTGAAGGAGCTGCTCGTTTTTGGTGGTTGTTTGGGATTGTTTCAGCTGCAATTTCCAGCTGATTTTGGGGTGTTTCGAGCTGGAATTTGGGTTCGTTTTCAAGCTGAAGCTGCTGAATTTTGGGGCTGGATTTACAACATTTTTGGGGCTGCTTAAATGGTATTTTTGGAGCTAAAGTTGGTAATGTTTTTGGAGGAAGAAGAAGGTGTTTCTATGGGTATTTCAGGTCTGTTTGAGCGGCAGTGGAGGGAGATGGAGGTAAGCGGCTCATTTTTTTGGGGAGGTGTAACGATTCGAACGGTCGTTTTGAGCATTTGTACTTCGCTCAGTAGTTTGGGGGCACGAGTAGCTCCGTATGATGTATTAGGACTTGCGTGAAAAATATGAGTTCATTCCGAGTTGATTAGATATGTTTCAGTGCGAGTTTCTAGAAGTCCAAAGTTTGAAAGTTCATTAGGTTTGATTT